TGAATGGAAAAAAAAAAAAGATGCCACGCAGCAGCCACAAAAAACGCAGCCATCGGGAAAGAAAAGAAACAGAGCCACAAGGAAAAAGAAAGAAGACGCGGACAGAGACGAGAAATCCGACAATCGGGGAGGGAGCCGCAAGGAAAAAGAAGCAGTCACTCCATCAGTACCTGGTGCTTAGTTCTAGTCCATCTCAAACAGGGCATTTTTAATCTCCTCCTCTACCTCTTTGATTAACTCAAAGTTCAGCTCTCTAGTGAGACTTTCGAATTCCATCTAAGTTACAGTGTTGATTAGAAGGGTTAGAAAATTTAAAGATTCCTTCAAAATAAGCAAGCAACTCCACTAAGGTTTCCTAGTCATTCTGGCATCTACTACCATATGGTATGACTATGTTATCCATGCAGTTAACTTGGCCTCCTCTAATTCACACTGGCATGAAAATATTTAGTATTCATATCCCCTTATTTTAGTCATGTGACTCTAGACTTTACTTCCAAAAGTTCTCTTTTTTCTGATAAGCTAAGTGTAACTCATTTTTAAATCTAGTATACTCACCCCAGTTTTTGTCCCTCCCTTGTTGCTGTAACATCTTAATATTTTTCATTGCGAACAATGATCACAGATGAAGAAGCATTAGGGATGTTATCTTTCTTCCAATCTAAGAGAGCTTTCCTAACATGCCTAATTCTATTCTGGATGCTAAACAAATCAAGACCATACACTGGCATATTCCAAGCATTCTCCACTATCTCGTTATAGCCCTCATATTTAATCCATCTAGCATCAAAGCAAAAATTTTCTTGTGAGGCCTACATGTATGATTAGTCTTCAAAACTGCTAAAATCGTAAGAGGAGACATGGAGAAGAAAGAGATTTCTTTTTGTTTGCTTGATCATCGTAAAGATGAGATTTCAGAGTACATATAGAGATTACAAGAGATAGGATAATATCAAATCAAATATTTAGATATCAAAGATAACTATAAAAAATATCTTCCCTAAATTGTCTTGTTACACCCCCCCTCAAGTTGGAGCATGAAGATCCCGAATGCCCAACTTGCTAAGAAAAGTCGTGAATTCCTGAGCACCCAAGGCCTTAGTAAAAATATCTGCTAGCTGGGTCTTGGTAGAAACATAAGTAGGAGCAATAAAACCCTTCAACAGCGCGTCACGAACAAAATGACAGTCAATCTCAATGTGCTTAGTGCGCTCATGAAACACTGGATTAGAGGCAATATGCAAGGCTGACTTGCTGTCACAATAGAGAGAAACTGGAGACATGATCAACACCAAAACATCCCAAAAGGGATTTCAACCATATCAGCTCACAAGTGGTAGAGGCCATGGAGCGATACTCTGCTTCGGCGGAAGAGCGAGAAACAGTAGATTGCTTTTTCGTCTTCCAGGAGATAGGCGAGGAACCGAGTTGGATGAGCCAACCAGTGAGAGAGCGACGCGTAAGAGGACAACCGGCCCAATCAGAGTCACACCAAGCAGTAAGACATAAATCAGAATCAGCGCGGAAGAAAATGCCTTGACTGGGACTTCGTTTCAACTATCGCACAACCCGAAGAGCAGCATCCCAATGAGCCTGGAGAGGCTTATGCATAAACTGAGACAAAACATGGACTGAATAAGACAAGTCCGGTCAGGTGACAGCAAGATAAATAAGTCGTCCAACTAAACGTCTGTATTTCTGTGGATCTGAGAATGAAGGACCAGTGACAAGCGGAAGCTGGTGATTCTGTTCAAGTGGAACGAAGGTCGGCTTAGCCCCAAGAAAGCCAACCTCGGACAATATGTCAAGAGCATACTTCCTTTGGCACAAAAAAATGCCAGAGGAATTGCGAGCTACTTCCAATCCCAGAAAATATTTCAAAATTCCAAGATCCTTCACATGAAAACAACGACTTAAATAAGTCTTAAAGGAAGAAACGGCGCCACTGTTATTTCCAGAAATGATCAAATCATCGACGTACACGAGAACGTGCAGCTGAACACCATCACGGCACAAGGTAAAAAGAGAATGATCGGCATAAGATTGACGAAAGCCATATTGTCGAAGTGCCGTAGTGAGTTTCGCAAACCAGCATCGGGGAGCCTGCTTAAGACCGTATAGAGACCGTTTCAAACGACAAACAAGATCAGAGGACCCAGATCGGTAACCAGGAGGCAATTTCATATACACCTCTTCATTAAGACCACCGTGCAGAAATGCATTGTGAACATCCATCTGATGTAATTCCCACTATCGGGCAGCAGCAACAGCGAGAAAAGTGAGGACAGTCACCATTTTTGCAACCGGAGCAAAGGTCTCAGTATGGTCAACACCCTCGACCTGATTGTTCCCAAGAATAACCAGACGAGCTTTATAGCGTTCAATAGACCCGTCAGACCGGTGTTTAATACAATACACCCATTTGCATCCAATAACCTTTTTGCCAGGAGGAAGGGGAACAAGAGTCCAAGTGAGGTTGTTTTCAAGAGCTTGAATTTCAGACTGCATGACAGAACGCCAATTTGAATCAGCCATGGCCTCGGTAAAATTTCGCGGCTCGACAGATGTCTTTATTGCTGCCAAGAAAGTCTTATGGGCAGATGAGAAATTAGTACTGTCAACAAAATGAGCTAAGGGATAAGGTGTACCTGAGGACGATAAAGTGGCTGAAGAGTGAACGGGGGGAGGGGGGGGATAATAGTACTGGTAACATGATCTCGCAGTCTGACTGAAGGAAACTTCGTCCGATGACCACGTCCCAAGAGCTGAGTAGACACTGTGGAATCAGATCCCCTTCGGATCTTAGTAGCCCCAGAGGGAGAGAAAGATGTTGGGTCAAGAGAGGTGACTGGCTCAAAATCATGAACATGTGAAGACTCATCATCAG